GCTGCAGTACGTGCTTTAAAGGTGACCTGCTGAACGAGGAACCACCCTGTCCCCTCCCATGTCTTTGTGAGAGCAAAAGAGATCATCCCCAGTTGCCTCTCTTCAAAGTATGGTGCCAGTCTCACCTTCCAGATGAGTTGCCAGTCTGGCTTTGAAGCACTTGCCACAGTTTTCGGGTCCTTTCTCACCTTTTGCAAGCCCAGGAAGCTGCTGCGTTGGGCTCCTGCTGAGGGAGTCTAAACAGGTCAGCTAAACTGTTGCTGTTCCAGAAATGAGGCGTGGGAGAAGGATTTGCAGTTTTTGTCGCCTACAGTTAGGTAAGACAACAAGGCAGCATAGCTCCATGAAGTCACCCCTCTGCTGGCTGTCCTGCAGCTCTTTACGGGGAATAGCCAGGATACTTCTTGACTTGCAGTGCCCCTAGAGGGGCAGCAAGCCTGGGGCTGTCCCTATGCCCCTCTTGGCCACTGCCCTGGGACCTGCAGTCCAGCTGTGCCTCAGCATCCCTCTGCAGGTGCACATGAGCTCTAGAAGAGACAAGAGTTTAAGATGCCCACCCTTCCATGGGCTTTGTTGCCAACTGGTGCTATGGGAAAGCAAGGCTGCTCCCCTCTGTGCTTGCGGGGCTGGAGGAAACATGCTGGTGCTATGCGAAAGTTCCCACTGCCAGCTCTCCCTAAACATTAACTGCTCACCTGACACTCACTGAACCGTAAAGAGTGAAGGCCAGCCAGGCTGAGCCATAGTCCTACAAAGAGAGTATCTTGGAGGAGTGGGGCACCAGCATATGGGCAGCTCTTGGGGCGAGCCTGGGGCAAGCAAGGTGAGTGCACTGTCCCAGGAGTGAAGGCTGCTTGTGCATGGAGGGGTGGCCAGCAGGAAGCAAGCTCTGGGCCCCTGCCCACACCTCAGAGGTTGGTGTGAGCATGCACTGATGTTTGTGCAGCTGCTCAGCTCTGCTGGTATGACATTCCCTGTCCCCTGGCCATCGTCCCGTTGTTAGTGGAGGCAGGGTGTCCAGGCATTAGATGAGACCTGGGTCCTGCCTGCCCTATCCCTGGCATTTGCTGTCAGCTTATTACAGCAAGAGAGGGGACTCAGGTGCCTTTTTCTGTCCCATTTGCCTTGTCCCCTGATCACTGCTGAAGCAGGAGCTGGGAAGAATGTGGGGGAGGGAGGATAACCTGCTGTGAACAGCACTTCTGCCTGTGCACTGGAGTTGGAAACCGGCAGTATTGGGAAACTTCTCGTCTTACTGCAGGCTGCACTTGTCTGGCACTAGCAAGGAGACTGAGGAGGGAGGGCAGAGAGGCTCAGTTCCATGACTGCAAGGAGGGGCAGAGCCAGAAGGCTTGCATGCTGTGCCACAGCTGCTAGTACCCACTGTGCCTCTTGCCTAGGAGCTCCTTCCAGCCTTGTCCTCCACTTGCTGTGCCTTTAACGTTCACGGAGGAGGAGAGACTGTGTAGCTGTCTTCTGGCTTGCAGTCTCCTCCCCACCCCCATGAACACCCTAAAACCGCCCCTGCCATGCCTATGCTCCCCAAGAGCCTCCCTGTTCTTGCGCTGGCTGGCGAGGGCCTGGCTGGCTCTCACCACACTGGGTCTGATGCTGGGAGCAAGCAAGTTATGGAGAACAGGAAAAGCTGTTGGTGCTCAGCTGGAGCAGGAGGAGGTTTCCTCTCCCAGAGCAGTGCTGTTGGCAGCAGGCTGCAGGAGGTCTGGGCTGCTCCCGGAGCGTGGGGAAGCCCTGCTTGGCCAGTCTCAGCTGGAGCACTCGTTACATGATGGATGGGAAGGGGCAGGGTGGTCCCGGGGGCTGAGCTCCCTGTGCCCTGGGCCAGGTGGGGGAGCAAAAGGAAGGGTTCCTGCCCTGGGGAGCTGCTGGCTCAGAGGAGCAGCAGAGCAGCCCGGGGTTTTTCTCTCCCTGCTGGGGCTGGGCCGGGCAGGGCAGAAGGGCGCTGCTGAGGAGCTACTGCCTGTTGCACCCGGGACTCTGCAAAGGCAAGCGGGAGCTGCCCGAGCGGGAGGCAAACGTGCCTCCTAGGGCAGGGATTTGGGGGCTGCCTGGGCGCAGACCCGGCCTGCCCCTGCCCCGGGGCTCGGCCCCTGCCTGTGCCTCTGCAGGTGCTGCTATGGCTGCGCGGGCAGGCCGGGACCCGCCGCGGCTCGCCCGAGGCTGTGGGGCGGGGGGCAATTTACATTTCATCAGGAGCGCCGTGCAGGCGGTCCGCAACCCAGCCCCTCTGCCTGCTGCCAGTGCTGGCTTCCTCCCACCGCACCCGGCCGCTTCCAGGCACACGCGGCATTGGAAACCCCCGGCCGGGCCTTCTCCTTCGCTCCATCCCCGGGCTGGGGCTGCCGCCTTTCCACAGCTTCGGGGCCGGGCGCGGGGGAAGCTGCAGGTAGAGCCTGTCTCCGCATAGTTAGCATTCCCAGCCTTGGCGTCCTGCTCGCTCCCGGTGGACTGGGCAAGTCTGAGACATCAGGGGGATAGTTCTTTCCTTTTCAAATCTAAGGTAGGGCGTGGACCCTCTCAGGTACGGGGCAAATGCTCAAATGGTGGCCAGTACCTCTTCTCTCTGGGTAGCAGGTCTGCACCCCACCCTTGCCATACTTGTGTCCTGGGCTAGCCATTCAGTCCCTCTCTGCTAGCCATGGGGAGACAGGGTGTACTCTGCCACTGTCCTGAGCCCCCTGAAATATCTCCATGACAGGATAAAGCCTCCTACACCTGGCCTAGGAAAGGAGGAGGCAGGTGCTGGGTAGGGGGTAGATAATCCTGGTCCTTTCCTTATCATAGTAAAGGAGGATATTTGAGGCCTGGCAGCAGGAAGGGGGCTGGAAGGAGAATGGATTCCTCTGAATTCAGTTTGGGCAACTCTGTGCCTGTGGCGCTGGGGGCTCTTGAGTAGAAAGCGAGTTTAATCTCTTGTTTTGTTTGTTCTTTCTTCCTCTGGAAGGGGGGCCTACGGGGCGTGCGGGGGGAGCTTGGGTTTGAGAGCAGGGAGGAGGGGGGGGAAGTGTCAGATCTGGAAGGGAGGAGTAAAGGGAGGACGGGAACGGCAGCCCCGGGAGGGAGCAGCAGCAGTGGGCTGCCAGCCGGCTGGGGAGGCGCCGAGGACTGAGGCAAGGGGAGAGGCAGGTAAGGAAATGGAAATTGCTGCCTGGGGGGAAGGCTAGAGTCCAGGTGAGGAGCAGGACAAGGGGTGGCTGAAGGGATGGGTGTGCTATGGGGGGGGGGGGGGAGGATGGATGGAATCCTTGGGTTCCATCTGGGAGAAATTTTGGAAGCTGGCTTGCAGCAGGTCCCATCCTGGCTCCCAAAAGTGCCGTCTTAGTAGTGTGCTCACGTGCAGGTTGGAGTCAGAGTACTGTTCCTGCAATGAGGGGGTATGGGGGCAAGCAGGAGCAGGACAGGCTCTGCCATGTGCCACCACCTTCTCTATTCTTCGTTTGTGCTGTTTATTCCCTGTCCCTCAGCTTCCCAGACTGCTGGGTGCTGACTGACCTCCCTGATCTTTCCTCACTGCTCCCTTGCCCCTCCTGCCTGGCCTGGGTGTCCCCCAAACTTCGTGTGGAGCTCAGCATGTGGGATGGGAGGCAGCTGATAGCAGCACATGGAGACCTGGCCATGTCCAGCGAGGCCCATGGCTGTGGCAGGGACAAGGGGCACCTGGGCATGGTGGGCTCCATGTGTCAGCTCCCCTTTCCCTGCCATGCCCGTGCTTTGCCTGCTCTATAGAGCAGAAAAGGGGGTCAGTGCCAGGCCTGGCTTGCAGGGAGCTGTGGTGCCAGCAGGACCCCTTCTCTGCCAGGAAAAGGAGTGCAGCACTCAGGTGCCATGCCTGCTGCCATGTGAACACAGCAGCATCCTCAGTGGGTTAGGATGGCCATGCTCCCTCGGGCTGGCCGTGCCCCAGCCCTTGCGATGCCTTGGATGGAGCCATCCATCCGCCTTCAGCTGCGATTCCTGCAATGGGCAGGCTTTTTGCAGCCTGGGGAGGGGGGGAGTAGGATGGTGTGCTCTCCCAAGCTGCCTTCTCGAGGCCCCGCGGCCCCAGGGGCATCTGCACATCAATGGGGGTGTGTGCAGGGGGAGCAGACCCTAATCCGGCCCATTCATCCCGACGGCAGCTTTTGTTGAGCCTCCAGATGTTGCTGCACCGAGGGCAGGGTCTCGTTCTGGAGCTGTGGGCGGGGGGACAGAGCGAGGCCAGGCTGCGGGGTGAGGTGGGTGTCCCCCTGCCCTTGGGGTCTCTGCTGGCCCGGGTACCTGGCTCCGGGGGACCTGGGGCAGGGCTCTCCGCCAGTCCCGAGCCATGAGCGGGGCTCAGCCCGCGGGGGAGCGTCCCGCCGGCGGGGCGAGGCAGCCCCGTGCCCCAGCGGGGCCGGGGAACGAGTTTCACCGAAGCGTTTGGGGTTTAGCCACCGAAATGGGCGGCGGTGTTGGGTACGGGAGTTCCCCGAGCCCGCCGGGCCCCGGCCGGCCCCGCACTGCGTCCTTGAGGCCGTCTCCCCGGAGCAGCCCCAGCCCCTCGGCCTGACCAGGCGGCGGGGGAGGGACCGCGCTCCCTCCCATGGGCAAGCTCCGTGAACCGCCCGGCTCAGGGAGGCCTCGCAGCATTGCCTCTCCCCTCCCCTGGGAGCCTTGGCCTGTGGGATGGCAAGGAGCAAGGCACACAGCTGGGGTGAAATGGTTGGGAGATCTCCTTCCCATCCCCCTCCACGTTTGAGGTCCCCCCTCCGTGGGCTTTGCAGCCCTGGCAGGCTAGCAGGACAAGTCCTGGGGAGATGCCCAATGCCCCAGCACAGGGCAGGAAGGTGCTGACTGGGAGAAGCTGTTTCTGGAGTGTTGACAGGCATCTGTCTTACCACTGCACTTGTCCAGGTGCTGTCCTGGAGGGAGAAGGCAAGGGGGGATGTCCTGCTGGGGCGGTGTCAAGACACCTGGGTGCAGGCTGTTGGTGACACTTCTCTTTGCTTCCCTGCCCCTCACAGGCTTTAGGATGCTGGGACCAGCCGGGCTCGGGTTGCCCACCTGATCCTTGCCACCCGTGTCCTGCTGGCACACCATGTTGCGCTCCTGGCGCACGAAGCTGAAGCTGCTGCTCGCCACGGTGACCCTGGCCATCCTTCTCTCCTGGCTCTACCTCTTTGTGGGGAGCCTTGAATGTGAGTGGGCCCTTCTCTTCCTCCTTGGGTCAAGGGAGGGTGCAGCAGGGGGTGGGCAGTAGGGGATGAGGCCTTGGGGTGGTTGCTCTGTGGGCATGCAAGTCGTTACAGGTGTATCTGACCTGGGGACATCTCCAGGGGCATGTGTAGGGATCAGGGGAGCAGAGCTGTGATGTTGGCTGGACACTTGTGAGGTATACTGGGACCTCTCACATGGGACCATCTACACTGGGCCCTCCCAGCCTTGCCATACCCATCACATAACCCGTGTCTCTTCCACAGATGGCCGCTTCCTCCTGCTGCCACCCTGCCTAAGCGAGCAGCCAAGCCGGGATGTGGAGCGGGAGGCTCTGGCCTCACGGGTGCGCAGGGTGGAGGAGGAAAACCAGCAACTCCGCCTGCAGCTCAGCCAGGCTCAGATGGAGGGCAGCGATGGCAGCCCACAGTGGGGAACTTCTGCCGAGGATGGAGATCTCCCCGGGGGCGAGAGGAACAATCGCACAGCCTGCCCCAAGCAGCGGACAGTGCACAAATGTGAGGTGGGTGATGGCACTGGCACGGTGATACTGTGGGATGGGAGGCTGGGACCCTGGTGGAGCATGGATGTATGTGCAGCCCACCTGGCACTATTCTCCCTATGTTCCGGCCATGCTGGGGCCTCACCCTGACTCTCCGTGGTGCTCAGTGAGCCACAGTCAGTGGGTGAGGGCATCTTCCTTCTCCAGAGAGAGAGGCCAGGCAGGCAGTGTTGCAACCAGACTCCTGGTCCCTTGTTTCTGAACTGGGGAACTCCCACCTCCCTCTGGGGCTCCTTCCATAGGGAATGTGCTGGGTTATGGTGGAGTCTCTCCCTGTGGCATGGTCCCAGGGAGGAGCTGACAGCCCCTGAAAGGAGGGGCTGTCCAGTCTCAAAAAGGCACCATTTGTCTCTGGGCAGCTCCTGCATGTTGCTATTGTGTGTGCCGGGCACAACGCGAGCCGGGACGTCGTCACCCTGGTGAAATCCATACTCTTCCACAGGTAATGGGGAAGTGCTGTGACAGAGGCCCACTATTTGGGGTTCCCAAATGATGAGCTGCTGCAGGGGGCAGTGCTGCAGGAGAGGGGCTAGGGCTCCTCTCTAGCCCCTGTGCCACTGCTTAGAGGGACAGAGAGGGATTTGTTCCTTCCAGAGGGTTGATTTTTCTGCATTTGCCCCCTCAGCTGATGTCTGTCCCTCGGCAGGGATGGGAGTGGTGGGGACCGTGTCTTCTTCATGCCACTGTGGTGCTGAGTGCTGCTGTGTTTACCTTTGGCAGGAAGAACCCCCTCCACTTTCACTTCATCACAGACTCCGTGGCCCACCAGATCCTCCAGACACTCTTCCAGTCCTGGATGGTGCCTTCCGTACATGTCAGCTTCTACAACGCCGATGACTTGAAGGCAGGCACTTGCCCTCCCCTTTGCCCTGTCCCAAGCCAGTGCTCAGAGGGTTGAGGGGAGTAGGAAAGAAGGGTGAGAAGGTGGAGGTTCATTAACTTTTTCTTGCTGGTCCCTCATCACCCCCTCAACTTTCTGGGCTTGTTGCTGGTGCAGCCGAGAAAGGGGTTCAGGGCTGGTACTGGAGGCCTCTTGGGGTAGCACTGCCTCTGTGGCAGAGCTGAGTCTCTCAGCGAGCACTGAAACACTGGGGTCCAGATGGGCATTCTGGTGGCTGAAGGGAATGCTCCAGGCTTGGCTGGCTCCACAGCAACGTGTGCCCTTCTGTTGCTGGCCTCGTCTGCACGGGGTACTGGGCACACAGAGCTGTCCTGCCCAGGCGGGAGAAGGGCTTGGCCATGCCCAGCCCTGGCTGTGTTGCCTTGCAGCCGGAGGTGTCGTGGATCCCCAACAAGCACTACTCTGGCATCTATGGGCTGATGAAGCTGACGCTTACCAAGGCACTGCCCTCCAACCTCTCCAAAGTCATCGTCTTGGACACTGACATCACCTTTGCTACCGACATTGCTGAGCTCTGGGCTGTCTTTGGGAAGTTTTCTGGTGAGGACAGGGTGCCCCTGGGGCTCTATCAGAGGCCTGGGTGCTGGGCTCAGGGTGGCAGTCCCCGCCTGCCACAGAACCTGTGCAATGCATTTGCTTAGGCTCTCTGAACTGATAGCAAGCTGCATCCATGGCCCTCTGTTTCCTCAGAAAAGCAGGTGATTGGGCTGGTGGAGAATCAAAGCGACTGGTATTTGGGCAATCTCTGGAAAAACCACAAACCATGGCCGGCCCTGGGACGTGGCTTCAACACGGGTGAGTGTGGGCTGCCAGGGTGGGCTCTGCAGCCTCATGGCATGTCCAGCTGGGGCAACACTTGGCACAGGGAGGCTGGGAAAGGCTGAGGTGAAGCAGGAGAGCCTGATGAGAATGAAGGGGCTGCTACAGCATCCCGGGCTAGTGTGGGTGGGAGCAGAGAAGCGGTATATCCCAGGGGATGAAGGAATGCAGGCTGCTGTGCTGCAGCTCTGTAGTGCTGGGTGCTCCCTCAGTGACCCGGTGCCCTCTTCTCTGGCACTCAGGAGTGATCCTGCTCCTGCTGGACCGCCTGCGTCACCTGGGCTGGGAGCAGATGTGGCGGCTGACGGCAGAGCGGGAGCTCATGAGCATGCTCTCCACCTCGCTGGCCGATCAGGTGATGGTTCTTCCTCTGGGGTGGTTCACCCTTCTGCATTCTGGGGTGGTTCACCCTTCTGCCAGCACTGCTGGCATGGGGGGGTCTTCCTCTTCCACCCATGCTCTCACCTTTTCTCTCTCCTAGGACATCTTTAATGCGGTGATCAAGCAGGACCCATCCCTGGTGTACCGGCTTCCCTGCTTCTGGAATGTGCAGCTCTCTGATCACACCCGCTCAGAGCAGTGCTACACCGAGCTTTCAGATCTCAAGGTGGGTGGGTTTGCTGCCTTTGAAACTGTAGGAGAGCCTGAAGGACACTCAAGGTCCAGGGGAGTCAGCATGGGGTCTGAGGGCTTGGGGAGCACTGGGTGCTGCTGGCTTCCCTTCCATGGGGTGACACACTACTGCCCAGGTGATCCACTGGAACTCACCCAAGAAGCTGCGGGTGAAGAACAAGCATGTGGAGTTCTTCCGTAACCTCTACCTGACCTTCCTGGAGTATGATGGGAACCTGCTGCGCAGGGAGCTTTTTGGCTGTGCCGGTCTTCCCAGCCCACCCAGGGGCCAGGTGAGGGTGATTGCCACTGCCCCCAGCCCCAGAGTGTGGGGTGGGCAGAGACCACATACAGCCTCCCCAGCACCCTGTGGGGCTCTTGCTCTCTTTCACCTTCGTCGTGTTGCAGCTACAGCAGGCGCTGGAGGAGCTGGATGAGGATGATCCCTGCTATGATTTCCGCCAGCAGCACCTCACACAGCACCGCATCCACCTGTTCTTCCTGCAGTATGAATTCTTGGCATTTCCCAACCCTACTGATGTCACCCTCGTGGCCCAGCTCTCCATGGACAGGTACTTGCTGGTAGGACCAGTGGGAGGTTAGATCCCACCTCCCCTCCTCCGGAGAGGCTCCACAGCTTTGGAGCTACCAGGGGTTCTCATCTCATTATCCTCACACCAGCATTTTACAGTGAGGAACAACACCCCAAGCTGGGAGCATCCTTTCCTCCTGCACTGGGCTCGACTGGCATGCAGCTCTCTGGCAGACGCCCCGTTCTGGGTTTGGCGAAGCTGCCAGAGGGCAGGTCTGCTGCTCATGCACTGCCCTGTGCTTCCCAGGTTACAGATGCTGGAGGCCATCTGCAAGCACTGGGCGGGCCCCATCAGCCTGGCGCTGTACATGTCGGACGCTGAGGCTCAGCAGTTCCTGCGCTACGCCCAGGCCTCGGAGGTGCTGAGCGCCCGCCGAAACGTCGCCTACCACATTGTCTACAAGGAGGGGCAGTTCTACCCCATCAACCTCCTGCGCAACGTGGCCTTGGCCAACACGCAGACGCCGTACGTCTTTCTGACGGACATTGACTTCCTGCCTATGTATGGCCTCTACGATTACCTCAGGTAAGGCTTTCTCCAGCCAGCTCAACCTGCAGGGCTCCCCAGGCACCAGAGTTTTCAGGAAAAGCCCTGGGTACCAGTCCTCAACAGCAGGCCTGGGAGCCGTTCCCTTTGTGTTCAGCCTCAGGATCCTGCCCTTGCTTTTGTCAGAGAAATGAGGATCCACTCAGTGGATGAGGAAGGGGCTCTGGCTGTGAGCATTGCCCCATTCCTCCTACCCCTGCATGGTACCACTGCAAATTGTCCAAAGACATCAGTATCCTTCTGGAGTGGCTGGAGGGGCTGAGGAAGAAGGCTGTGGCCGTGGCTTGCAGCCGGGGAGACCTCATACCCTTCCTATCACCATAGGAACTCCATCCAGCAGCTGGAGCTGCCCCAGAGGAAGGCAGCTCTCATTGTGCCGGCGTTTGAGACCCTGCACTACCGCCTGACCTTCCCCAAATCCAAAGCAGAGCTACTCTCCATGCTGGACATGGGATCCCTCTACACCTTCAGGTAGGGACTGGAAATGCCCCACACTATCCAGGTGGGGCTGACAGAAGCCAGTTTTGTACCCTTGTGCCTTGGGACTGTGCACCCCCTGTCTCTGGGGACCCCCTGCATCCTCCTCCTGTCTCAGGGAGCTGCCAGCTTTGCCCAGTGTCTCATTTCCATCTCTCCCCGCAGGTACCACGTGTGGCCAAAAGGCCACGCCCCAACAGACTACGCCAAGTGGCGGACGGCCACCACGCCGTACCGTGTGGCGTGGCAGCCAGACTTCGAGCCTTACGTTGTAGTGAGGCGAGATTGCCCCAGGTATGACCAGAGGTTCGTGGGCTTCGGCTGGAACAAAGTATCCCACATCATGGAGCTGGACGCACAGGTGGGTGAGGGGGCTGCTCCTGGCACCACAGAGGCGCTGGATGTGGGGGCTCCTGGCCAGGCAGTGACATGTTGGTACCACCAAGCCGATGCTGTTGCTCTGTCCCCTCTCAGGAGTATGAGCTGCTGGTCCTGCCCAATGCCTTCATGATCCACATGCCCCATGCCCCCAGCTTCGACATCTCCAAGTTTCGCCTGAGTGCAGGGTACCGGGGCTGCCTCCAGACGCTGCGGGAGGAGTTCCACCAGGACCTGTCACGGCGATATGGGGCTGCTGCGCTCAAATACCTCACCGCCGAGAGAAGCCTGTGACGCCTAGGGACAGTGGGTGTGGGGTACAAGCAGCACAGTGGGAGGATGCAGGGCCTCCCTCCTGCCCCTGCCCACCGCCGCAGCCCAGCCTGAGGGAACGGAGTTGGCAGCACAGCCTCTCCAGCCCACCAAAGGGATACCCATAGATAAGGTGGAAGATACCAGCTGCACGAATAGGCAGTGCCTGGAGGTCAAGCTGCCACAGCCTTCCTGTGTTACAGGGGAACCTCCTTATGCCAGGGGGTCAGCTCTTCTCCCTCCTCTCTTTCAGTAGATGTGGGTTTCCTAGTTTTCACTAGCTCACTTGACCTTGAGGCCTGGCTTCTCCAGAGGCCTGGGAGCTGTGCCATACCCTGCTCTGCCTCTGCTCAGTGGTGCCTGTTTCAGTCCTTGCATACTCCTCTGGGGCTTTGGTGAGCGGGAGATGAGGTTGTAGATCATCCCTTTGTGGAGCAGGCTCAGAGGAAGCCTCCCAGCACCTGGGAGCTCCAGCCAGGGAGTACCAGGAGTTGTTGGAGATCTGGTTCAAGCCCAGATCAAGGCTGACTGGTTAACAGTGGAGAAGTATTATTACTCCCGATCCATATGGATACAGTCTCTAGTGGAGTTGGCCCTGTACTGGTGGTGCTGGAGTCACCTAGAGCAGGATGAGCTCCCAGAGCAGGACAGGCTGTCTGCTGTCCCCAGAATGAGCTCCCTGAATAGGCCGGCACCTTCCAGCTGGCAGCAGCCATGGCAGTGACAGACCTGTCTCGCGTTGGCAGTGCCCCACAGGGCAGGGCTGCGAACCATGGCCAGGAGCAAAACAGCAGCTTCACGGGCCAGTGCATGCTGAGAGAAGTTTTTGGCAGGGACCACCCTGCTCCTCCCCAGCTCGTGGCAGCGCAGTCGTTGCCATCAACAATCAGGGATGTGACTGACACTGGAAAAGACCATAGCTGAGCACTGTGGCAGGAACCCTGTGCCAGGAGCAGCTTGACCGGACACTGTTCTACCACTATCACACACTGGAGCACAGAGGATGCATTGCTTTCCTCACGCTGTTTAAATTATTTAATACTTTCCTCATAAGAATTCAGTAAATTAGGGTGTCTGGGGTTCTTCTTTTTTAATCCTTTTTTCCTCCAAGATGATTTTGCTGGCAGCCCTGGAGGCTCTCTGGGCCACTTGCTGCTGCAGCCTCTGCTGTTCTCTCCTTAGCTTCGCTCTGGGCTACAAGAGCTAGAGTTAGCTCTGTGCAGGGGTGAGGGTTTCCGTCCGTGGTGGGAGTGACTAAGAGGAGCCATACAAAGCACGGGGTATGGAAAGGGCACAAGCGCCTCTTGCTTTTTTTCTCTTTTTAATTTAATTTTTAAATTAAAGCTTTTTTATTCTTTTTCACTTTCTTGTTAGAACTGCCTGGTTATTAATTTTTTCTGCTATGAGCCTGCACATGTTCCCCGGAGGGAAGACAGCAGGAATTGCAATGGAAGAGTAGCCTGAGCCTTGGCTGTGGAAAAGCATCACTGGGCTTGCTCTGCCATGTTTGAAACCTTTTGCTGTTGGGCTGGCACGGGGGGGAAAGTTAAGGAACAGGGAGCAGCAGCATGCAAAAGAAATACTGGTGTCACCAAGTCCCCTGGCAGTCCCCTGCCAGCTCTGAAAGGGTTGGTGGGCTCAAGTCCGATGGTTCCCAGCACTGCAGCAGGGCCCAGGGAGCCTGCCTGCACATCCAGCCCCCCTGAACTGGATCCTAGGCCTTCATGGTTTAGGCATGTAGTCAGTTTAAACGCCCCCAAGTAGAAGGGATGTAGTTTCATCTGGCGGTGCTGTGGCTCATCCCCAAGAGCAGCGTGCAGAGCTGGATGCCGTGCCGTGACCTGCAGGACCTTTCCTCGCCCAGAGGAGGGAGGACAGGCACACTGCTCTGGCCCCAGTGCAGGCAGTGGGACCAGGTGGGGCTCTGCTGAACAGCCTTGGCTTTGTAAGAGTGTTGGGAATAAAAGCTGGCTCTTAGGCCCCATGAGCCACCAGCCTTGCATCTGCAGGAGGGAGGATGAGGGTGGTTTGCCAGGAGCAAGTGTTGAGGCTTTATTTGGGAAAGGGCTGGGAAGACATTGCTCATCACGGTGAAGCCAAGAACAGCTCCACCCCACCAGTCCCTAGCAAGCAGCTTTTGTTTAATATAACCAAAACTCAACGATACTGTGCTGCTGCTGCACTAAGCAAAATGAGGTTTGGATCACAGCAGTGGTGGAGCAGTGCCGGCATGGAGCAGGCCTCTTCCAGGCAATTATTTGATGGCTAGGAGGCAACAGAAGTGCTGTCTCTACAGTTATTTTGGAAGGTGGCATGGGCATGCCTGTAGAAGGAGGGCTGAGCACCATAATTTTCAGATAATCCTTCCCAACCTATACAGTCAGCCCAAAATGTGCCTAAGGGGGTGGAGGTACTTGGAAGTAAACCCAGCTCAGGTTGGTCTCCATGTGCCCTCTGTTGGGCAGCATCAGCTGGGAGGCACCCACTGAGTCAGAACCAGATTATCTGAATTGAGCACAGCCCCTTTTGGAGCTAAAATTCATTTCTCCTAACACAGTGTCCTTCTCCTTGCCAAGAAAGCGGAGTGCGCCACAGCCACCGCACAGAGCCACGCTCAAAAACCCCTCTTGGGGCTGGGGATTTGCTACAGACACTGCACCATCCCCTGTGCCTGTGGGACCTGCTGTCCCCACCTGGTACATACAGCTAAGGAGACAAGAGATTTTACCGTGTTTTATTTAGTAAAATGTTAAAATAAATAAATACAAATTGATCAGATGCTCTGTATCCCCTCCCCCCAACTTTAATTTGCTAAAATCTAAACACATTTGTACCAAAACTGAAACCACAAGGAACTTGAAGGCAGCAGAGACTGCAGATCACTATGAGCATCAGGCTAAAAAAAATAGAGATATTTAAAAAACCCAAACCAGCTCACAAGTCGGTGTTCTCATGGTGTGATTCTGTGACAACAGAGCAGTACCAGTCAGAAAGGGCATTTTACACCAGGGCCTGCAAGGACAGGAGATTGGCGGGGAACGGGGCAGCACAGGTGGCACCGGCTCACGGAGGGCAGAGCCATGGCTTTGCCTTCACAAACCCAGCTGGGAGAGAAGCTGCGTCATCCCTGCACAGCACCAGGCCCGTGGCTGCGGAGCAGCACCACCAGAACGGGGGGCTGTTCACCAAAATCACCTGGAGAAATCAGACAGGCTGGAGAAGGGACCAGGGCTTGGACACAGAGCCCTTCAGGGTCAGCTCCTGCTCCGAGCCCATGGCAGGACTTCTGCTTTACAGCTTGGTCTTGGATGAAACACTGGGGTGGGAGTGGGGGAATGGGATGAAGCACAGCACACAGGCAGGGGGGTGGTATCAACAAATCTACTGAGATGGTGTCACCGTGATCACAGGAACACGAAGCTGTGATTGAGGCCCGAGTATTTTCTCTAAACAGCCAGAGCTGCCTTCACAGCCCTCCTGCCCTCAGCTGCAGACGACAAGGTGTTTGCAGATTAGAGCCAGTCAGCCCCAACAAAGACAAAATTTGGCATGGGCAGCCACCCCAGTGCTGCACCAGACCTCCCAGGCAGCAGCAGCTCACCACCACTTCACTGCTGTTGACACAGCAAAGTTGTTTCCTTCCTCTGCAGGAGCCTGAACAGGTCAGCACTAGCAGGATCCCCCCTTCCTGCTGGTGCCTTGCTTAAGCTTTGCTTAATGGAGTTTGCAAGGCATGCTTTGCTTCTGTGGGGCTATGAAAGACAGCCAGGATGCCTCTGACAGTGTAAGACGGCGCTTGGGGCAACCCTACAGCTGTAACTGGAGTGAAGCAGCTTTCTGGACACAACTGCCTGCTGGCTCTGGTTGCGTGGGGCTGCCAGGAAGCTGACCGAGTCCCAGGGGCTTCTGCAGGAGCAAAAACCTTCTTTAAGGAGGGTCTTGGCTGCCTGTCATGTATGGCATCAGGAGCAACTCAGAGACAACATGTCTTGGAGAACTGACAGGTAAGACACTATGCCTGGCTCGAGAGTCAATCGCTGTTTTGATGTCAGTGATAATTTAGGTAAAGAAATACGAGACTATGATTAGAAATTACACAGTAGCCCAGAACAAGCAGAAACACGCTGCCTCCTGCTGCACCCAGCACAGAGCTGCTTCTCTCAACAATGCCTACCCCAGTGCCCGCAGCCATGGAAAACTGCTCTTTGGGAGTCAGAACTGGCAGTACCCGCTTCACAGAGGGGAATGAGAGGCACAGAGCCACCTCTTTCCCTCCCCCCTCAATTCTGGCATGCCACACCTGAGAGGCCAACACCTGGATGACAAGCTAGGGGAGCCCCTGCCCTTGTATATGCACAGCATCTTCCCAGTGCTGCTGCAGTATCAAACCTCAGCGCTGGGAGTCCAGAATCAGGGGTGGCCATTGAACTCAGCCCCAGGAGCTGCCCTGTGCCACTGCCTCCTTTCCCCGCCTGAGCTACAACCCCAGGGCTCACTAAGAAAAGTGTTATCTTGAAGCTCAGAGGCAACAATACTTCATTATTTTTCCAACGACAGAGATCTAACAAGGCACACGACAAAAGGGCAGGAATTGGTCAAGGTTTACAATTGCCAGTGCAAACTCAGGAAAAAGAAAAAAGATGCAAACTCCCCAGGTGGTGAAAAATACTGAGAGCCAATGGATCGATACTGCTCGCTGCTACTGCCTTTCCATGCCACCACTCCACCCAGGACAGGCAGAGCCAAGTTTACATGGCTTTTGAGTTCCCCAGGCATTCCTGAGAGTAAACATGCCCTTAAGTACTTCTTCCTTTCTAGAACGAGGGACTGGCTTGAGGTTCTCTATCTGAACATATTTGACACCTGCTTGGATACTACAGAATGAAGAAGAACAGACACAGAGCTTACTCTCGGCTCATACTCAAGAGCTGGGACAGCTGTTTTCCCAGGAGGGTGCCTGCCCCATGGGCTGCTGCTTAATGTAGCCTAGAAGCAGGGCCCTCAGCTTCTGACAGGTTACATTAAACTTTACACATGCCACTGTCCAGGTGCACTGGTGAAGTGCCCCTTTGCATGTGTCCCTAAAGAATCTAGATCCTGAGAAAACAGGGAGGCATTGCTGCTCAGAGGGATTTTGGCACAGAACTGCCAGATGTGACAGCCCAGAGAGCACAAATCTTGCACAGATACTCCAAGAGATGGCTGAAAAGTACCCAAGTCACAGGTTCTGCAGGTCCTGCTCCGCATCCTTTGCTCAAGTAGGACCCAGGACCTCTGGGAGCTGATGCTCGTTTTAACTAGGCTAATTGTAACACTTGAACTAGGAAGGTGCAACCACAGTAGCAGAGCTGAACATTTAGCTAGTCTCCGGAACACTTCTAGCCAAGAAAATGTTTCATTAATATGGTCCAGATTAGAGCAGTCTATGGCTGCCCCAAGGTCTTCTTGATCTGCCTTATCCCCACACTGAAGTGGTCTTAGAAGTCAAATAAGGCTCTTGTCAGAATGGGATCACTCAGCAGCAGAAGGGATGACTCCGTGCCTACTTCGTTCCCTACCTGCAGCCAGGCAGCTCTTCTACCACCACACTCGCTCCTTTTGGAATACAGATTAACTCATGTCCGAAACTGAGGTAGGATAAGGAACAATTTTGTTCTACTCTTTCCACTGAACTTTCAAACCCTGTAACTGCACAAATACCCATTTTCCTCAAAATGGAGGCCTATTTCACTCCTGCATTTTTCCTACCCTCATTTTCCCTCCTTCTCTCTTTCCATATTTTTCCTTTCTGCTCTACTTTACCCCATGTAATCTTTGTTTCCTTTGCTCCTCCTGCTTTCTCCCTTCCTTTCCCGTCTCCAGCCCTGTACCCTTTCTCACATCTTGAGCCGACTCAAGAGGCTTCTGTCCTTTCTTTGCTCCCTTGCAGCATCCACCTCTGGCCCGGGGAGATGGGAAGCCCTGGCCCGGCTGTTCTCATGAGCCACACTCCAGGGACTTGCACAGCACAGCGTTTTTCACAGCACTGGTTCTCTTGACAAGCCTCTTTTTTGATCACTACTCATTTTAGTAATACTGACAGGGATACAGACAGACTCCCGCACAGGTAAGGTCTTGGTTTTCTGAAACAAGCCCACATCTTAAATTAACCTCTGGGAGAGGCGTTTTGTCTTTTCATGGGTCTGTAATTACCAAGCTTACCAGTGCATGGTATAAATAATTTTCTTTATTGGCAAGTTGATCAACTATGTGCTCAGCCTATACAAGACACAACGATGCAGAAAGTTCTTATCCCGGGTAAGAGGGAAATAAGGAGGAAATGGAAGCTAAAGGTAAAGGATAGAGTCATACTTTTCAAGTATT